TGACGGTGGAAAAAAAAAATTGAGTGGAAAACAATTAAAAAAAACTGTTACTGATCAATATCAACAACAATTTCTTTTCTTTTTTTTTTTTCTATTTTTTAATTTTTTAGTTTATACAGTTTTCTGCTTTACTATTTTTAAAACAAAAGCAAACAGCAAACATCAAAACAGTAACAGCAAAAAACAGCAACATTCAGCAACGCCAACAACACCAACATCAACATCAATAAATATAATTTTCCTAGTAATAATAATGGTAACATTAAATAGAAAAAAACAAGAAAAAAGGAAAAAAAAAGAAGCAAAAAACCGAAAAGAATTTGATGAATGTTTTTTTTTTTTTTTTTTTTGTCCACTAAACAAAACTTGAAATGCCGTAGTTTGGGAATAATGCCTGTTTTTTGCTTGGTTGCTCGGTTGCTTGGTTGGTTAGTTGGTTGATTAGGTGCAAGAAGCATAAATAAACTCTGGTCATTCAAGCACACTGCTTTAGCAAATACAGTCAACTATCAAAACACCAAAAAATATATATCCTCTAGTATCAGTTGCCGGCAAAAAAACAAAAAAAGAAAGATACAGTCAGAAGAAGCAAGAGGAAGTAGCTGGTTTTCTATTTTTTCGTTTATAAAGTTAGTAAGCAAAACTTTTTTTTCTGCTTTTTTTGCTGTTGTTTTCTTCCGAATCCAAATAATAATAATAAGTGCAGATATTTTCACCTGAAACACAGATAATCGTCTAAAGAATGTCATCTTTTCGTTCCTGCAACAGTATCTGATAACAATAACAACAGCAGTAAACTGCGACTCTTACAAAAGCAATGATAAAAGTTGCTTTTCATGAATGAAACCATTTGCACTTGTCTTAACTTTTTCTCCTCTTTCTTTTTTGGTACGTTTACCAAATACCCGTTGTTGTTGTTGTTGTTGTTGTTGTTGTTATTGTTGTATCATTAAAATCGTTAACATATGCACAACAGATATGATCAACATTTAAGAAATGTTTGTCAAACATCAACAGCCTTATTACCTAGAACACATATATCATAATAGATTTTTGTTGATTAAATAGAGCAGAAAATAGAAATGTATAAAAAAAAAAAAAGAATTTTTTTTTTTTGTTG